TTTGATATATTTAATGAATGCAAATGACAAAAAACTAAATTGTAACTCCACTTTTTGTGCAAGTGGTTGATTATTTTTTTGCAAATAGGATTTGTATATAGGATTGATTTGTTTTGATCTGAAGGCATTTGTAAGGATTGACTGGGTTAGGTTTCACACATGTAGACACTCGGATGATATCCTTTGGCTGTACGTGCTGCTAGTTGTGGGTCTTATTAAGAATGGATCCAAAAATTGAGTCATCTCTGAAATCATGAGTGTGTTAAGGGACCACTTTTAGGTGAAATAGATGGATGAGAAAGGCTCATCTAGGGAACTCATTAGGTGAGAGAATTGGTGGGTTTGAGGGGAGCCACAGCGTTCTTGAACAAATGTGACTCCCTGACCATTATCCTAAATTTCCCAGCATTCACCCTAACATCTAAGCCTTACAATTTAAGAGATTCCTTAGGGAAGGACAGACGTTTCTCCAGGCTGAATGCTCTTTGTTAGTTCATTTTTCCTCAAGTTCAAAATGACTTTATAAAATCCTTGTCCAAGGTTCCTACCAGAGGCAGGCAGAGGCTGACACACTGTCCTCTGTGTAGGGCTTTATCCCTTTGGAAGTCATTAAGTTAAATGCTTGTGAATATAAAGCTTCTGTATGCAATTTATTGGGGTTAAGGCGGTGGTGCCCAACCTTTTCGGCATGAGGGACCAGCTTCCTTGAAGACAATTTGTACATGGATGAGTGAGGGAATGGTGGTTTCAGGATGATTCAAGCACATCGCATTTATTGTACAGTCAAACTTATTTCCAGCTGCTCCCCAGGGCTAGCATCACCGCCTCAGCTCTTCCTCAGATCATCAGGCATTAGATTCTCATAAGGAGCCGCAACCTAGATCCCTTGCTCGTGCAGTTTACAGTAGGGTTTGCGCTCTTAAGAGAATCTAATACCAGCGTTGATCTGACAGGAGGTGGAGCTTATGTGGTCATCTGAGCGGTGGGGAGTGGCTATAAATACAGATGAAGTCTTGCTCACTCACATGCTGTTCATCTCCTGCTGTGTGGCCTGGTTCCTACAGCCCAGTTCCTACCAGATCACAGACAACTAGTGGCCTGGGGGCTGGTGACCGCAGGGTTAAGGTATTAAGTTACTTCTAAGAGAAAGCATAGGTACCTAATGCCAGAACTGTGCAAGGTTTGGGATTTTATTGTACTTATAAATTAGCAAATTAGCTTGCTGCTGTTTCACACGTCCTGGGTCAAAGACAAAGGGCTTCATTACTCACAGCACAGTGGACAGTGTGAGCTTCATGTCCCTCTGCTACATCCCTCTTGTCCCTAGGGCCATGACAGATGCCTGCACACATGGTGGGCTGTGTTACAGGAGGGAAACCCTGAGATATTTTCATACTGAGGAGAAGCAAGCCTACTTTTTTTAGGGGATGGGATGGGGAAGAAGTTACCTCATCTGTGAAAGTTGCTTGCTGAAAAGACAACCCTGAAAAAGTGCTCAGGTAAAGAGCAGTTACACATTTAGAGGTTAACAGTGTATCCATGGATGGTATTTAACACCCTGGGACTGAATCAGATTGCTAAGGAAGTGAGCAAAATCAGAGAAAGAGTCCCAGGCTGAAGTCCTGGAGTATTGTGACATTTAGGGATTAGAGAGAAGACAAGAAACCAAGCAAAAGAGACTAAAAGGACAGGTGATAGAAGTGTGAGTGACACAAAAAGCAAGGGCTCTTGGCCATGTCGGAGGACTCCGAAAGGTCAAGGACAGTGAGGACTGAGTGTTCACCAGTGGATTGGGCACTCTGGGGGACATCAGTGACCTTGATAGGAGTCATTTTGGTGGAGGGTAGGGCATAAATATGATCAGAGTGGATTCGACAGAAAATAAGATGTCAATAATTCTTCTGAAGAGTTTTGCCAAAAAAGAGAGCAAAGAAAATGATAGTAGCTGAAGAAAAATGTGGAGTAAATGAGGTTTCTTTTCTTTCTTTCTTCTTTCTTTCTTTCTTCTTTCTTTCTTTCTTTCTTTCTTTCTTTCTTTCTTTCTTCTTTCTTTTCTTTCTTTTGGAGGGTGTTATGATAGCATGCTGCTTGCATTCCAATAGGAACGAACACTTCCTTAAATCCTGATTCACAATTCGAAGTGCCCAAGAACAAAGGTGATTTTACCTGTCTGTGCATACGTGCACTTCTTATCTATTCGGAGCCCTCTGCGGTCCTGCCTCAAGCTGGCTTCGAGGCTTAGCGTCCACCCTTCTCTGCCAGGCGCTTGGCTCCGCCTGCCGAGCGCAGCCCACTCTTTGCTTGCCCACGACCCCTCACCCTGTTCTCACATCTCTGCTTGCACAAACCTTCTCTGCCTTTAAGCCCAGTTATAAATGCCACTCTCTTTGATTTCTTCAGTTGGTCCCCTTCTAGTCGGAACTATCTCAGCATTTTGTTCTTCTATATTTGATGGCAGCGCCCAGGTACTGCTTTGCATCACAGCGTTGCGCGTGTATGTTATGTTCTCTGCAGTCCAGGAAGGCAGGAGCTGCCCTCGGAGAGGAGAGCTGACCAAAGGCCATGTCCTCTGAGTGTCCTGCGGCTGCTCCTTCAGGGAGAGCATCTGCTTCTTCCTCCACTTTGACACAGCCTCATGCTCCTTGACGAGGCGCATTTCACATGCTTATACCTGTCTATTTACCTGTCTGTCTCCACCACAGGGCTCTTTCAAGGGGAGAGGTTTTCTCAACTCAACTTTGCAAATGCTTTTCCTGTCATCAGACAAATCCAGCCACCGTAGCTCCACATTTTTGCATAGAGCCTTGGTACTCTAGCATGGCAAGTTGCCACTCCCTCGGTACAGGAGAAACGCTAACCCCATTAAATGTTGTGGAATGAATAAAAGATGAGAAACATTGTATTTCAAAGTGAGGTGGGAGAGGAAAACCAGTATGTCTGAAATAAAGTGGGCAAATTTTAGAATCCTAGAGCGTGAACAACCCTGAAGTTCCCTCCTGGGTCACCATGTCACTCGGCCAATGTAAAAGCCAGCTCTGCTCATGTGCATGGCAGCTATTGCCTCTTTTGATAAGTTCTATACACTTCTGCTGCTTTGCTTTGACACTGTCTGGATCATGCAATAAACATAAGAACAAGCCAAGGATTATTATGGATGAAACATCCATAAACTCATGGAAAGAAACGGGATATTATGTTCTTTTCACCTTTGAATTAACTTTTGGTTAGTTTTACATGGAGCCAAACATTCGTAGAATATTAAAAATAGTTGCGGATATTCTAGAGTACACGCTGCTTCCTTCACTGGGCAGGGAAAAATATAATAAGGTGTCAGGGTCAGAATTATCCAGCCACTTTGTTGAACTCTGATACTGGGGTTTTCATCAGGCATGGCAATGTTCCAGCCCTCATAGCAAGCCTGGCCTCAGTGTTTCTTCTTGTCGTAGGGCAGGATGACAGACAGCAGAGTACCCAGACACATAGCACATGGTTACTAGTTTGGGAAACTTCCAACTCCAGGGATGAGCCACTTTGTCCAATGGCTCATGTTCAGTTTGGGCTGGATGGCAGGCTCATCCTTTTCTATTCTGGAGCGTGGATCAGACAACTCTGAGGCTGAAGAACAGGCAGCAGGTGGACAGTTTGATTTCACAGTGCTTTGTGGACACATTTCTTTTTCCATGGCTCCCAGGAGGGCCTTTTTGTGCAACTGGCACCCACACCCATCTGTTTTCTCCTGTGTGCCGAGCAGAACAGGAGTCTAGGCTCTTAGGATCATCAGAGAGAGAAGTCCTGGAGGGACTGGCTTCTTATTTATGTGGCTCACTCTGGGGAGAGTGTGACTCCTAGTAATACCTGACCTGTTTGTTTTTAATCAAGCTGCTCATGCTATTCCTTCAGGAATCCAGAATTAGAGTTATGTCTGTTTATGGAAGTGTCCTATGCCAAGTGAAGCCTGAAATTATGTGAAGACATTTGGTTCACTCTCCTAAGAGTCCCACTGGCACGCTGGACTCCAAATGAATCAATGAATATGGAAATAAGTTGTTTCCTCCGCAATGATCGTAAAAATATACCACGGCAACAGCATTGAGCTTATTGGGGCTCTGGGGATTGGTTGCCTTTATGTATGGGAAGCGCTTGTGTAGACAGCTTCAAGATGGAAAACAAATGATTTGCTGGCCTCTAGCAAGGAAGATGAGACTTAACAGCATGCCTTTGTGATGCAGACACTGCACAAACCAGCTCAGCGATGTGGAGGACACAAATGTGTCTCTGACTCCCAAAGAGCACTGTTCTCAGACAATGCATTTCTGGTGGCAAGTCATTAAGGATAAGAGCATTATCTAAAAACATTTAAAAAGGTGCCTAGTTAAGGAGATCATTTCATCTAGGACTTTTTCAAGTGTCCATTGCTAAAAATCCACAATTCTTCAGTGGTATCATGTGAATAGTCTGAAAGGGTCATTATACCCGAGTGTTATGATGTCATTTGAAGAAAAATGTTTCTATTAAGGAACATTTCATCTAACCTTTACCTATTTTCAAATCCTAAATGTAAACTAAGACAGAATTGGTAAAAGTGTTAGATGACTATATGCATATTTTAGGCTAGAGGGTTATTTGTGTGATGATGTTAGAGGTGACAGGTAAGGTCTTGGGTTGCCTATACGTGGGGACTTACAAATTACCCAGGTTATATTGAGCTCCGCCTCCTCCATGCCTGACCCTTTAAGTGGAGTCAGGCCCAAGAAACTGGAGTGAAATTGGGTTTGGGCAGGAGCCTTCTGCCTGTGTCCATTCGTTCTGACCTCAGACTTGCTGGTTTGACCTCTGTCCCTTGTTCCCGTCTTGAGCTGTTGACTTCACCCTCTGTCTACTCAAAAGTTCTAATTTTTAAGACTCATTTTGAATCTGGCCTATGGCTTACTAGAGTATATTGAATCTTTTTATGCCCTTTTTAATTTGGGGCACCCTCAGTGTCTCAGAAGAGATGTTTTTGCCGGCAGACCCTCAAATCCAGCTTGATTTAAATGAGTCATAAGAATGAGAATTTTGAGTGTCAGGAATTCTGTTACAGCAACACAGAACAAAGACACATGGTACACTTGAGACTTGGCAATTTATCAAGAAAAGAGGCTTATTTGGCTCACTATTCTGTTGTCTGGAAAATTCAACATTGGTCACCTGCATCTGGTGAGAGCCTTAGGCTGCTTCAACTCATGGCAGAAAGCAGAAGGGAAGTAGGTGTGTGCTCAGAGATCACATGGAGAGAGAGGAAACAAGAGAAGAAACCCAGGAAGCCAGACTCTTTTTAACTGCTCTCTTGGTAACTAATTCATTCCCAGGAGAGGAAGACATCACGCATCCCTGCGAGAGAGCAATAATCTATTCATGAGGCATCTGCCCCATAACTCAGACACCTCCCACAAGGCCCCACCTCCCAACACTGCCACGCTGGGATCAAATTTCAACATGCGTTTTGGCAGGTACACACCACATCATAGCACCATGTGTTTGAATCCAAGCATAGTCCTGAAACTGTGTCCAAAAGTGAGGTGAGTTAACTCATTATAACTTACTCTTAGAACTCCTATGTTGACCTAGTGGTTCTAACATTTTTGTTACTTGGAGTCCTTAGATAACGTGTTCAATAATCTATTCCATCTGAGGGTTGGGGCACGGATGTGGTTAAGTTTTCTGCTGTATAGTTTTTGAAATTCATCTTTGGGAGAAAAGAGTCACCTCGGAAGCAATCTTGGTTCTTTAACGCTGATGAAAGCCAGTTACGCAATTTCTGGAAGATGAAGACAAGCTCTGGGTTGTGCAAGCCACCCTCAAGCTCTGACACTGTAAATATTTCCAGTACCATGTACTGCCCGTGCTGGCCAGTGAGGCCTGGCTGTGGGTCCCCACAGGGGCAGCTGAGTTTCTGTGGGGACAGAGCTGGCTCTCAGCAGCCTCGGTTGTCCCAGAACAGACTCCTTCAGGGATGACATCTCAGGTCCAACCGCCAACCTCTATCAAAGTGAAGCAAGTTCCCACAGCTAGCCAAATTCCAGAAAGGGGCTCCAGAAGAAATTTGGGGGTTGGGATGTTATCGTTCAAAAAGGATATTTGGGTAGAAAGAAAGTAGTTTAAAACCCAGTGACATTTCTAGATGCTTTAAAAATCTAACTTATACTTTTGTTTTAAAAAAGTCCTTGTGCACCATCTGGGGGATGGTCATGCTGGAAACTCAGACTTGTAGGGGGAGGGGGGAATGGGAATTTATTGAAACCTTAAAATCTGTATCCTCATAATATGGTGAAATAAAAAAAAAAAAGACATACAAACCCAAAAGAACCAATAAAAAAATTAAAAAAATAAAAAATCCTTGGAGCCAGACTGTATCCCACAGAAATCCTAAAATAAAAAGTAGATTAGGTTTTGTGTAGTTGTGAGTGAAAATAAATGCTACCTCTGCTTCTATTGCAGGTGTGTAAGAATGCGAATAGTTGACTGTAGGTCTGACTCCTAGTTTCCTGTTTCAGTTCTGCTTTGTCACTTATCAGACTGCAACTGTTCTGCTGCATGGACCAAACCAGGAGGAAGACATTAGGGTTGGTTCAGTGATAATTAGAACTTGGTGTCCCTGCTGTGCCCTGAAAAGTAGAAACTGTGTGGGAAGCAGCTTTGGTGCTACGTAAACTCAGTGGGAGAGGATGATGTTCAATGAGCTTCAAAGATACGGCATCTTACAATAGCATTTGGGATCCTCCACGGCCGTCTCCCTCAGAATCAAAGTCCCCACCCGTCTGGTAGGTCTCTGCTTTTCTATGTGGGGGGAGCTGAGCTGAGAAAATGATCTCATTCGTTATAAAGAATTATAGAGAATACCTGAATGTGCATGTATTATGCTGCTATTTTTCTGGTAATAATCTGATCCTTCAAGACAGATTATATCTTTTTTAATCACATTATGATGCATATTTATATTTCATTGGAAAAAGAGAGTTATATGACATTGGAAGCTACATTTTAAGCATTTACCTGAAGCTAGGTATTACCTAGGTATTTACCTCCCACTTAGTGCCAGGTCTTGTAACTGTCACAACATATTTGTGAGGTGAGTGCAGTCGGCCCTGTGTCTTCACGGGGTTCTGCATCCATAGATGAAACCCACTGAGCATAGAAAACACAGCCACATCTGTACTGATTATGTACAGACTTTTTGCCTTGTCATTATTGCCTAAACAACACAGTATAACAACTATTTGTAGAGCATTTATATTGTATTAGGTATTGTGAATAATCTAGAGATGGTTTAAAGCATGCGGGAGGATGTATGCAGGTTATATGCAAATATTCCACCATTTTTTGTAAGCGTCTGCAGATTTTGGTGTCTGAGAAGAGTCCTGGAACCAATTCCTCACGAATACGAAGTGACAACTCTATTATTATCTCTTTTTTTGTGGATAAGGAAGCCAAGGATCAGAAAAGCTTATTTCACGTCCTGTAGCTAGTCAGTGGTGAAATTAGGAATCCAACACAAATCTTTACTCTCCACAGTCCTGCACCTTTAACACAGTGCAAACTGTCTGCACATTCACCAGGCAAGGCTTGAGGACATAAAGTTTATCACAGTAGATATTCCTCAGGGCAGGAGGGGATGGCTGGCTTCACTGCCTTCCCAACAGCCTGGGGTGCTCATTCCTTTTCATGCACTGAGGACCACGGCAAGCCCCAGCCCTGGATCACTCCTGCTTCTGCCGTCTTTGCCCTGCTCTTGAGTCACTCAGTGGAGCACAAGCCACAGTGCTCAGGCCCTACGAATGAGAACCACTTATCTTTAACTTCTCCTTCATCTCCATTCTCCAGCTCACCCTCGGCCTCAGCCTGGGCCGTGTCCTCTGCTTGTTCCCAGTACTTGGCATGGTGCATGGCCTCAGGGATTCTTCTAGATACTATCAAATCCTAATGCCCACTAGATTCTGTGAAACTCATCTTGGCAAATCGGTTTATTTTATTAACTCACAGTTTCCCAGCTCTTCAAATGAAGAAAATACACCAACAGACTGTTTCCACAAGCTTTTCCTACAGTAAAAATCTTTGACTCTGAAAGTCCCAAATCTAGTTCGAAACACTCCCATTCTTGCCTACTTGTTCGGTGGGGGTAAAGCTATTAAGGTGGATCAATGCACAGACACACCAGATTCTATTTCGTCTCTGGAGTTGTTTGCTGTGTTACCTAGGAGGCGCTCCAACTCTTGGACTCAAGTGGTCCTTCTGCCTCAGCCTCCCAAAGTGCTGGAATTACAGGCCTGAGCTGCCGGTCCAGTGTTTTTACATTTATTCCTTCATTCTGTCTTAATGTATCTGAGGACGAGGAGTTCCTCCTCTTTAAAGACAATCCCTCTCTAGTGTTTTTTTCTTATCTTGATTCTTAAAGATCTTTGTGTTGTTCTTTTGTGTTTGTCTCCAATATTTCCTTTGTGCAGACTCTTCCTCCTGCCTTAAAAAATGTTTTATCCTTCCTTAGCTTACAACAATGTCATTCAACTTGTTATGTCTTATAGCTTCTTCCTTCTGCCCAGAAATGTTTAAAAGAAATGTTATCAGCTGCTTTCTTTCCTCTGCTTTTTCTTCTTTCCTTAATTCATTGCAATCTGGCTTCTGGCCCTACTTTTCTGCTGAGATTGCTCTCTTAAAGGTTAACAGCTTACATTTTGTCAAATCTAATGGCCTTTTTATCCATCCAAATTCACAAAGTATTGACACTGGGCTCCAACTAGACTGCTGGTGTTGGGTTCTGTCAAGGTTTCATATCTCCACCCCAGCGAGGGCCATTGAACCTACCTCTGCATTTCAGCCTGGCCCCAGCACCTAGAAGCAATTCTTGCTGTGCAACAGTGGACTTACAGAATAATGGGACAAAGCAACACCTTGCTCTTTGACATTGGCAGCATGGTCCTGTGGGGGTGTTAGGCTGATTTCTCCTTGGGTAAAAGAGAATAATCCAGGACAATCCAAGCTTGGCACAAACTTAGGCTGGGAAAAATCTGCTCGAGGTCTGGAGAGGCAGGACTGACCCCAAAACAAACTCTAGGAGGCTACCCAAGTCAGCTCTGATCCTGGGGGTGGCCCATGGCCAAGTGCTGTTGACTAAATGTTTGTGTCCCTACAGAATTCACATGCTGAAACCCTAATCCCCAGAGCTATGGTACTACAAGGGGAGGCCTCTGGGAGGTAATTAGGTCATGAGGGTAGAGTCCTCATGATGGGATTAGTGCCTGTATAAGAAGAGGCAGGAGAAAGCTTCCCTCTTTCTCTCCCCCACCACGTGAGGATATAGCGAGAAGGTAGCCAGCTATGAACCAGGAGGAGAGCTCTCACCTGAACCCGACTCTGCTGCACCCTGATCGTGGACTTCCCAGCTCTCTGAACTGCGAGGAATCAATTTCTGCTGTTTAAGCCACACTGGGGTATTCTGTTATAGCATCTCCAAACTGACTGGGACACCAAGGTTGTCCTGACTCAAGAAAGCAAAAACCCCAGCCAGGATCCAGGTTTCAGGGTGGTGATCAATTCTCAGAGTTGTTGGTTTGAAGGATTAAAAACCCACCAGGCCCATTTAAGAAGAGTCAGGGAAACTGGAAGCAAGGACAGCTCCATAAGGAAAGTGGAGACAGAAACCAGGCAGAGCGGCAGCTGGAGTTGAGAGCTACTTTCCTTCCAGTTTGGGAGAGAGGGGGTAGGAATAGGAAGAAGGACCCCAGCCCAAGAAATTACCCAGGACTTCTGACTACTGGCACGATCAGCAGTAGAGTACTGAGTACAGTGTGATACTCATACTGGCCCTGGCTCACTCCAGGGTTCTGACGGATACTCAGCCTGGGACAATGAATTGCTTCCAGATCCTAAGGGCTCGTTGGGAGAGGGCTCCTCGTTTGCCATCAAGCTTGGCTTTCACTGATCTGGGAACTTGGAAGGGCTGAGAGTGTGCACTGCTTCTCAAACTGAAATGCTCATCCACACTATCCGAGATCTTGTTAAACTTCAAATTCTGATGCAATAGATTTGAGGTAGAGCCTGAGATTCTACATTTGTAGCAAGCTCGTAGGTGACACTGATCTTGGTGGTTTGCAGATTGCTGTTTGAGTAGCAAGGAGTGCAGGAAGCAATTGTTTATTATGAGCAGCTGAGGAGGGACAAAGCCTGTCTTTAGAAATCAGCTCCAATTGTGGTTATTGGGTCTTTGTGCTATTGAAATCTAACAAATGCGCAGGATGAAGTCAAAAGCAATGTGACTGGGTATAATACACAACAAGATTGTTTAAAAAATGTGAGGGTGGACACATAGGTACTACAGTAATAGGGTATTGGGCAGGTGGGAGGGGGGAGGGGGGTATATATATACATAAGGAGTGAGATGTGCACCATCTGGGGGATGGTCATGCTAGAAACTCAGACTTGGGGGGGGGAGGGCATTTATTGAAACCTTAAAATCTGTTCCCCTATAGTATGCCGAAATAAAAAAAAAATGTGAGGGAAGGGAACACATAAACATATAGGCTTGTGCATTGTAGGTTGCCAGTTGCCTATTCACTATTCATTTTTCTTTTATTCTTTACCTACAGAATCCCTGTGTTTGGGAGTTGCGAAGTGTCCAGCTTAAAGTCTGTTGCCTCAGACAGGGGTAAACAATTCGATGTGAAATGGGACTTTCAGGAAAGTGCTTGAAAGAAAGCTGATTGTTCTTCCTTCTTCTTGCCTGGAGGGCTGATGTGATAGACATCACTCACTCACTCTAGCAGCCATATTGTGTTCATGAGATGGTTTTGAGGTTGAAAACTACATCCTAACCACGAGGAAGAAAGATCAAAAGTAGTCAAGTCTCTGACCAATACAAGCCTAGTGTGCCTGCCTCTAGATCCCTCTTGTTGAGAAAAAACAAATCTCTACTTTCTAAATAATTGTTCTTTGGGCTTTCTTTTACATGCTAAATTCAATGACTAACTGATACTATGTGTACATGATATTTCTGGAAGTTTATCCAAAGAACTGATATTACCTCTTGCCTCTGGAGAGGGAAATTGGTATACCCTGTTTTAAAGGCTAGGAGGAAAATTTAAATTTTTTAGTATGCCCTTCTGTTCTCTTTAGAGTTTATAATCCATGAAGATAATATCAACAAACAAACATAATGTTAAAATAATAATAAATAAACAATAACAACAAAACACAAACGAAATGAAGAAGAGAAACACAAACAATAGTAACGTGAAAACTGGAGTTCCTTGTGAATGTTCAGGAAAAAGATACTTTTGAATTTTCAATCCATGCTTTTATATCCTTTGAGTGATATTTTCTTTTCATTAAAGATGAAGTGAACCTATCTGCATTATATGAATTTAATCAGGTATCTGTACATGTGTGGACATTGGCATGCATAATTGGCAATCAGCTCAACTCGGGTTTCCTGTCTTGGCTGCTGGAGAATTTAACATCATGATTACTGTACAAATAATCCAAACTCTAGAATTTTTGCCACTGTAATCAGCTCTCCAAGATTTTTAATTCATATTTGTGATTGATAATGAGTGAATAAGTGGCTGAGGAAAAAATGTGTTTTGAAAGTGTCATTGTTTGTTGGGTCTTGATACAAATTAGTTAATCTATTTAACTGAGGTCCTGGGTTTTCACTGGTATTGTTATTTTATGGCAGTTATCCTAGGATGCACAAATCTTTATCTGTGATCAAAATGCATAATTAAGATTGTTCAAGAATCTTCTACTTATAGGAACATCTTCACTTGCCTTTCAAGACTCTGTTCTACAGCAAAATCTTTCTATCTTCTCTAGCTAGGCAATATTTCTCCTCTGTCGTCCAAACATTTCATACTCTCCTATTATTGCAATCCTTTGATCATGGGCCTTTCCACGGTGTGGATAGCAGCCTCCCTTTCTGCCTTCCCAGCTGTGCCTCTCCTTACCTGTCTGTGGGCACATGCACATGCATCCTGCCAGTAAGCATCACAGGCATCCCTTGATTTCTCTAGCCCACACTTACCCATTGGAGCAAATGTCAAAAACTCATGTCCTCAGTCTACATCTAGCTCACAACCCTCAGCCCACAGATATATTTCATTTGGTTCATATGTTGTTGACTTAAAAGGTTAAGATGGTTGCCAAAAATAAAATATTATTTTGGAAGGTCATTTGGGACAATTTTATGTAACAATTCAAATTTCTAGTTTCTCTTAAAAATAATTGCAGGAAAAACTAGACCTAAATTCTCCCTGTCAACAGTCAGCTCAAACTGAATAGCTGCTGCTTCTTAACACAGAGTAGTCTTGAGTTTTCTGGAGTCCCTCACGCCCTATTGGTTGGCCTCTGAACCATTTGAGTCTTTCCTCTTACCCTATGGGGATGGGAGAGCCTTAAACCAGGGGCATAAAAGCAGGGATGGGAGCTGAGGTGAGCGAGTTGCCTTGAGTACAACCTTCTATGCAAAAATGTGGAGGTATCTGCATTTGTCTGTCACATTTGTCTGATGAAAGTCTGTCGCTTCAATCACATTTAGAACCATGTACACAGAGAACCTTGTACCCAGAGCTATATACAGATTGTCTACAGCTGTGTGAAGAGATTGCAAAACTTATTTTCCTCTTATTAAATGAACTTTTTAGAAAGTTCAGAACTTAATAGAAACTTTTAAGGTTGAATGGGTGAGCTTGTCGAGTAATAAGGTCCCCTCATTTCTTTATTTTTTAGGTCAGGAAATGACCACAGAGTTAGTTATCATATTTAACAAATCTCATTGCCATTTTAACTCTTTTATTCCTGAATGTCTGACTTTTCCAAATCAATGACAGATTCCCAGAGGGAGACATATTATCTTCTTTTACTTATTTGTGAGAAGCTAATAGAAGACTATATGAATGATAACCTAAATAACTTTTACCAAATTAAGCAACTATGATTTTGACATGAGAGTACCTTTTCCTTATAATCTTTATATTTAAAAATTCCTTCTTTTTATTTTTAATTTTTTTATTACTTGAATCAAAGTAACAAATACAGTTTTATTTATTTTCTTTGGAAATATATTTGTATGTGTATTTTCAAACATCTGGTTTGAGCATTTCACTGGGGGGCTGACAACCATTGTTTGGAAAGTGTGAGAATCAATCTTATTCACACTTCATTAGATCAAGACACATTTTCTCACATCACTTAATATGATGATATTTTAAAAACTGTCTGCCTTGCCCCCTGCACCCCGTGGTGCTAATGCAAACTGAAGTTAATCTAAGACTAGGATGGAAGCAGATTTAGAAAGAGATTTTGCAGGTGTCATTTGAAATGTTAACCTACGTCAAGCTCTAACTATGAAATTATGTTACCTATGGTACCATGCTGTTTCCTTTCCTTTTTATATATGCTTATTATTTTTCCTAATTCTGAAAGGTTTTTACTCAGGCCTTTCAGACATCTACAGATGTTTATACTCAGAAAATTAAATGGTTGCATAACAAAGAACTATTAAAATACATTTAATACTTGATAAAAATAAATACAGTGGCCTCAGGGATCTATTGTAACTTCTATCTCACACATATTTATCAGCCCTACTTTTGTTATTTTTGCTATTGCTACCAGTTCTAATCCCAAAAATAGGAGTTGAAGCCTTATTCCATTTCCTGCTGGACTTTCAGCTTTCAGCAGGGACTTTCCTGACATTCTTTCTCCATTCATTTCATCCAACCAGCATTTATCATGTGAAGATAGAAGGGACAAAGACGAAAGGAAGAGAAAGAAGAAGGGGAAGAAGAAGAAGAGGGGGATGAAGAGAAGGAGAAGGAGAGACAGGGAGGAAGTTACATTTTTAAGGCTGAAACCATATCAAGCAGCTTTGGAAGGACTTTTTAAACCTACACCTCAGAAATAGCAAAATTAGGCCAGGTGTGGTGGCTCACACCTGTAATCCTAGCACTCTGGGAGGCCGAAGCAGGAGGATCGTTTGAGCTCAGGAGTTCAAGACCAGCCTGAGCAAGAGTGAGACTCCATCTCTACTAAAAAAATGGAAAGAAATTAGCTGGACAACTAAAATATATAAAAAAAATTAGCCGGGCATGGTGGTGCATGCCTGTAGTCCCTGGTACTCGGGAGGTTGAGGCAGTAGGATTGCTTGAGCCCAGGAGTTTGAGGTTGCTCTGAGCTAGGCTGATGTCAGGGCAGTCTAGCCTGGGCAACAGAGTGAGACTCTATCTCGAAAGAAAGAAAGAAAGAAAGAAAGAAAGAAAGAAAGAAAGAAAGAAAGAAAGAAAGAAAGAAAGAAAGAAAGAAAGAAGCAAAATCACCATGTGAATTGGCAAGCTAAAAAGGAATTTTGTCTCTGCTCAAAAGACTCACTTGGAATAGTATTCTAATGGTGACTAGTGACATCAAGCTGGCTCTATTTGTGCTCTATTTGTCCCCCACCCAGTGACACTTGGCTCTGCATCAAGGTGCCCTCCCACCTTGCTCCCTTTCAAGTACTCTCAGATGCATCATTGATATTGAAGAGTAAAATTCCAGCCATCTGAGAGTCTTCAAAGGATAAAGCATTAAAGGGAATAAAGCCACCTAACAATCATAAAGGAATGATAAAGTTTGGTAAATGACATATTAGTTAGTGGGGAAGGACTTTATGTGGTGATGAGAGGGGTGACATGAACCACACACACCACACCCAGTGAAGGTGGTACCACTTCCCTTCTGGGTACACAGGCCAGCCTGCCAGGAGGGGACTTCCAACACTGTCTCTCTTGTGGGTGAGTCTGCAAGCAGGTTCACGTTGACAGCGTGGACACCCAATGGCGCCCCAATTAGAACAAAATAAAACTCAACTAACTAGTCTGGAATGATAATTCTTTATGTCTGCATATATTTCATACCTGGGTGCTCTTCTGATACTATCGTATATGGGGCACAGAAAGAAAATGAAGCCCTTTAATTGTGGGCAGAGAGACTAACCTCACAACAAATTAGAAAACAGCTTCATGAACTATAAATCAGTTGAAAGGAAGAACTGGTCTGAATAGCAAGTTTTTACTTGCATCCTGCATGTAGGCAGTGGGCTTGAATGAGGAAGGTACCTATGTGACAAATCCTTTCATCATTGTTCAAATTATGTAACACTGCAGTCCCCTCCCCCACCTCCACCTAGATCCATGTAAAAATTGTCTTCCATGAAACCGGTCCCTGGTGCCCAAAAGGTTGGGGACCACTAAGATTCTAACAAAAGGAAAATGAGAAACAAACACAGAGGTATCAGTGCTTATTTGCTAAAGATCTACCTGGTGATGAGTACACCTATTTGCTGTCAGATCATAAAAATGTTTTAATAATCCCCTTTGAAGACATTTTTTTTAAAAGCTTAGTAAATGTTGGCCTGCTGTTTTTCTAAGGGGGCTTATCAAAACATTTTAATGCCTCTTTAGATCAATTGATTCAAGAAGGGTAATGTAGATTCCAACAGCTAGAACTGTCAGCGAATCTGAAGAACCTATTCAACTGAAGAACATGTTCGAAATAAATTATCCTTGCAGTCCTTTCTACACACCACACTTTAACTGGGAATGTAAATACATGGCTTTTTAAAATATATTTTCTCTATCTTAAAACCAACCAAAATCTTGTTGAAAGAAACTTTAGTTTTTATTATGCCACTGCACTGTGGTCTCTTAACATGAAACTAGAAACTAGAAACATACACACACACACACACACACACACACACACACACACAC